ACACATGGTGAGAGCAAGAATGAGGGAAAGAAAGGAAATGTAAAGCAGAGAAAGATGTCCCATTTACATACAAAGAATAGCTGTTTAGGAAACATCTAGTGTTTTCCCCTTCCAGCTAGCCTACTGATAGTTTGGCTGCCAGGAACTACAAGAGTAAAAGGCTGCATCTCTGGGAAAGAGAGGAGTTTCCAGTCTGTAGATGAAGGATTTTCCTGGGAGAGAAACTGCTTTGTGCCACACTGTGCCCCAACCGGGCATGTATCCGATGAGCTTAGACTAGATTTCCAAATTTCCAAAATTTGATGGAAATAAGCACTAAGAATCAGAATTTTTCTGATTCTTAAGGCTGATTTCAGGAAATTTCTTTTCATCCTAGTTTTGGAGCTATGATTATTTCTGTCCATTGCCTTCAGTGAGCCAGAACCCCAAATGTCCAAGTAGTAAATTGAAAGAATCATGCAACAGCCTCATAAACTTCAAGGATGTAGCAGGAAGAACCAAGTTAGGACACTGCCTGGTCCACACCCTGGTTGGAAAATAGGAGATAGCCAGCATTCTCCCATATAAGGGATAAAATTGGAAAATTAAAGCTGCCTTCATGTGGCTCTAATAAAGTCCAAGGAAAAGAGTTGGGAAGAACATCTTAGATCAAGAAGGGCAGAGTGAGCAATATGCAGCTATCCAGATCTACAGTTCTGCAGGTCAGCTACAAGAAGAATTTGGCCTAGTGCTCTTGTCCAAAGGTTTCAGCCCACTGCAGTGAGATCAGAAATCACAGCTGGAGACATAAGGCAAAGAAAACACAAGGGTTATGGTCATAACCAAAACAATTGTTTTGAAGAATTACTGAAAGAATCTGGAGAAGTTTTTGTTTCTCTTTCTTTTCATTTGAAGAGTTTTGTCACTTAATGGCAACGGTACAAATGTTTCTTACATGGAAATTAGAGACCAAACACATCACAGAGGGGTCTTTAGTGAGAGGCGGGTACTTAAAACAATAAAAAACCCAAACCAAAACAAACAAAATCAATCAAACAAGCAAAAGAAGACAATAAAAAAACCCAAGCACACAGAGGAAAATTCAAAGAAAGAAAAAATTCTATTGCATATACTGAGCAGGAAGAAAGAAAAGGATGGTCAACGCTGCATATGTGGAACAGATAGAATGACATGCAACTTCCCCCTTTAGGCTAACATCTTCAGTCGGCAAGGAAAAGAATTCCAAACATCCAAACTCCAAAACATGAGAATCAAAGGCTTCTAAGAGGATGAAGGACCAGCAGACACTAGGTGTCTGCCCCAGAATGAGCCCTACATAACTTGCTCCATGTGGTCCTGCTGCTTTCCTTTCTCACTGTCCTACTGAGGCAACTGGGTTTGTTCCCTCTTTACATCGTCCTCACCCAGCTTGCCAATGCAACAGGAAAATAAAGTGTGTTTCCCTTCCCTGCAAGCCAGATAACCACTAGGCTTTCTTGGAAGGAAGGAAGCTTTTCCTTCTCAAAGAAGAAAAGATAGATGCTACCCAGAGGAGACTGCTCACAGTATCTCTAATGCCACAGACATTTTCAAGACATGCACTGTACTTAGGTGGGCAGTGATTTCTCAGAGTGTGACCTAAAAAATTTGCCATTGTTGGAAAAGAGCCTATTTCCCACATATGTTTGGCTCAGTCACACAGACACCAGACATTGCATGTAATATGGCTTGCCATAAAGACCAAGGAAAAATAATGAGCATATGACGTAGGAGTAGAACAGTGTCTGACCTGAACAGTTTTCAAACAATTTCCATGAAACATACTCTGCACAACTGGCCAAGTCAGTGCTCTTGGCTCCAATAGATACATTTAGCTCCTTTCCTAAATCCATTCTGGAGAAATGCCACCCAAAAGGTCAGGTTGCTGTATGTTTCAGTGTCACATGATGCAATTTAGGGAAGTGACAGCTACAAAAACTATTAACCTCAGTGGGACTTTTCCAATACAATAAAATTAAATTGTTAAATAATAGGAAAACAAAAAGGAACAAATAAACTAGGGTTTTTATACTTGAAAAGAGAGAGTGAGTGAGAGATTTCAGGGAGAGAAGCACCAGAGGAATGGAAAATATATGATGGTATGTTACTGAGTCAGTCATTTAAACCTACTTTATGGTTGGTGGCAAGAGCAGATAGCCTAGGGACATGATTCATCACATCCTAATGAAGACATCTAAAACAGGTCAGATGAATTTTGCTGTAAAAGAATTTATTTTTCTCTGCAGGGTTATAAACAGAGTCTAACGTGACTAGATCAGAGGTAGTTACCAGTCAAGTATAGAATAAAAATGCATGACACGTTCAGAGGTTAGACAGATCCCACCCAAAGCTGCTGTTCCAAATTGACATTGTTTCATTGTTTGTTTTCTTCTTGCTGTCAGAACTGAATTCACTGGCATGAAGCAAGGCCAGCCAACCACTGGGAGAAACTCAACCTCTGCAAGAAGAGCTATACCCATGGCTCAAGAAGTGAAGGGCAGAAGAAGATCAAAGACAATCTGTAATCTTGCCTGTGCAAGTAGCATTTTGAACATAATCACATGAAACAGGACCTTGACAGGTCATCTGGTCCACCCCTTGCTCTGAGGCAATATTCATCAGACTTTCTGGATCTGAACTGTTCTTGTCAGATATATGTCCACCTTGCACTTAAAAAGCCTCCAGGGAGAGAGATGCTGTTCACTTCTCCTTACAAATACTTTTTTTTATCCTAGCTAGCCTAAATTTCTCTTACTGCATTTTACATGCTGTTTTCAGAGGATGAGGATAAGAGATTATTATTATCTTCCTTTTAGCAACTTTTGCATAGCTGAAGGCAATCTTCCTCCAGCTTCTATTCCTGAGGCTAATTTTTTCAGACTTTCGCTGTACATGATGCTTGCTGGGGCCGTTTTAATTTCAAAATTACCAGTGGCAATGCTGAAATTAATCTAGTGTGGACATATCTTGTGTCTCTTAGATATCACTGAATCATCCTATAAATGTTAATTTATTTAGCCTGACAAGCACCCGGAGTTACTGGGAACAAGCCCTGTTTTACACAAGAGGACACGAGGCAGAGGAGATTTGTGGTTCTCCACCCTGTTGGTATTTCCACCACGTTCCAACTGTGCACCAGAGCAAGATCCAAGCAGCACATCCAGCCTCATCCCTTAGGAGGCAGGAAGCCAAGAGCCCATGCTGTAAGGGAGCCATGGTGTGCTTTGCCTGGGTATTTGTGATCACAGGGCAGCACAGGGCAGCTTTTCTACAATACAGAGATATCCATGCACAGACCAAGGGCAGGATCTTAAAAGCCATCCAGACATTATGCTTTTCAGAATTGTAAGGGCTAATTCCATTTAATTTAGAGTCAGTTATTGAATAGATTTACATACCTAATGACATGTGATAAGTACTTAAACACCTTCCTCCTGATCACTTTAGGCACCCTGGTAATTTTAGAAAATGCAGTAGAATCAGCCTATCAGACATCTGGTCTGACTGTGAGGTCTGCAGCCCCTCACATGTTCATTTGTATCACAACCTCAATATTTTACAACTCTACTATCAATTCAGTGCATGCTAATACCATTTAAATAGGTGTTCAGAAAGATACCTTCTCATGATTAATCTAGTGTTTGCATGACTGAAACTGAAGCACTTCATGCTTTTAGGCATGTCATTACTGGCAAAAAAGCAAGACTTCATTCCAGGTTCTGGCATTGCTCTTGGAGTTTGCAGCAACAACATGTGGATCCCTACTCTTTAGGGCTGAGATTGTCAATAGATATTGCTGAGAAATACAACAGGAATGGAAGGGTGAAGGGAAATGTATAGTTTCTAGTTTTGTCTAGCTTCCAAACTTTTATTAGTCCTGATAGGACAGCAGGAAATCACACTTTAAACCACAATGAATAAATTAAAAACCATCCTCAGAAAATACAGATTTTGCATTTTAGAACAGGAAACTGAGCACTTACACGCCTGTTGACTGATTCAGTAACATCAGTAAACACATTACTAAAATGAGGAATACGCTTTGTGAGACATAAGCTTCAGGTGATTGGAGACCATCCTGATCTATCAGAAGTAAATATTTTTATTTTCATGACATAGTGTATAAAATATGCTCAGCTATCAAAACCCAACAAACATTCAGAATTCTTCACTTCAAACTTTGTTTTGGCTACAGTGACTGAGAAGGAAAAAAGAATGTTCCAAAGGATCATTTATTTTATCCTCTTTCATATTACTTTCTGAAATATCTTCAATTGTGCGGCTACGAAAATGTTGGGATGGCCGACTTGAACAGTCACAGCATTTCACTTTTTTTTTCTTCTTTTACATGGGAAGCATTTATGTAAGTAGCCACACCATACTTAAAAGAGCAGATTGACAAATCGGCTTTTTGTTTCTTTACTGGCTTGAGGGGACTTTGGGGTGGGGGGTCTTATTCCTGTCATGCATTATGGTGACAGCACCAGGGATGGACAATAAATATGAATGGGACACCCGGGATGCTGTCACCTCCACAGGCACCCTGCCCGCACCGTGGTACCGCTGCCATACTCTCCAGCTCCAGGGAATCCTCAGCCACCACTCCAAACATTCCCTGCGGAGAGACGAGTCCTGCCGCTAAAAGGGAGAATGAGGGCATTTCCCTGAAGCTGGAGCCGGGATGGAACGGGCGGGGGAGGAAAGCCGTGTGCGCGCCAGGGATAAAGCAACACAGGGGCACACACGGAGCGAGCGGAGCGGCCGGGCCGGGCCGGGCCGGGAGAGCTGCGGGGCGGGCTCCAGCGCGCCGTGCCGCCATGGCGTGAGGGGCCGGCGGAGCGGCGGCGGGAGGAGGAGGAGGAGGACGGGGAGAGGTACGGAAGGAGGGCGGGGAAGCGGGAGGTGGAGCGGGAGGGGGGAGTCACTTTCTTCCTGCGTTGAAAAACGCACCCCCCACACCCCTCCCCGCTCCGTCCCCCGGGGCTGCGGAGGGAAACTTTGTGGCAGGCGGTCGGCGCCGGACAGGGGCGGCGGGCGGTGAGTGCCCCTGCGGAGCGGGCAGCGCTCAGCGCCTCCATCCCGCCCCGCGCTCCGCCGCGGCTCCCGGCGCGCCGCCGGCGGGGCGGGCGCGCAGCGGGGCGGGGCGGGGGCGCCGGTGGCCGGCGGGTCTGGAAGGGACGGTCAGTCCGAGCGCTGCCTCCCGCACACGGTCCCCAGGCCGAGCGGCGCCCGGAGGAGCGGCGGGAGCGGCTCCAGGTGCCGGCGCGGCCGGGCAGCGGGAGCGGGGCTGGGGCGTCCCGGGGGGAGCACTCCCAGGCAGGCACGGGCTTTTCCCGGCTGGCCCCGGCGGAACGGAGCTGCTGTCGGGGCACCCGCGAGTCCGAGGGAGGTGGGGGCGTGCGGGGGGACGTGGCGCTTTCTGTGCGAAGCTTCACCTGTGGGCGCCGCGGGTAACAGCTCCGCTCCTCCGCAGCGCCGGCACCGCGGGAGCCTCCGAGCCTGCTGCTACCGAGTCCAGCCTCCCAAACATGCGTGCGTGAAAGGTAAGCAGTAGCATCCTTGTCTTGCGCCTAGGCAAGCTGAGAGACAGGAACAGAGTGACTTGCCCGATGCAACTTCCTGCCACTTCTTTTTTATTTTTTTTTAATTGGGAAAGTTTTAAGTGACCTAGGAGCAGAGCTGTCAACTCGGGAAGCTCAGTCTTCTCAGCCCCAGGCAGAGAGTTGCAATTCCTATAGCTAGTATTGCATGAAAGCAGTACATCATCACTTGGTGTGTCTCATGCCAACTCTTAAAGTTCAGTTTGGTATGAATGAAAGTAACCACTCTCTCTGTTCTTCTGTCACTCCCTCTTAAAGCCATATAAAACTGTGACATTTTCCTGTGTTTTCAAGTTAGAGTGGCTTGCCATTAGCAATGGCAACATAAAAAGTAGTCACAACTGTGAATAAAATACAAGAAATATTGCTCAACCCTGGAGATTTTTCAGTCACTCTAAGAAGATCAACTGCAATTTAAATAACACTAAAATTTTAATATCATCCAAACAAAGACAAAGAAAATCTCAGCCTAAATATTGCCACATTATGTTTATCATGCCAACTATTATTATAACTCACTGCAATATTTCAAAAAAGGAACAATTCAGCTGAAGTGCAGCAGTGGGAGTCAATAATTCAGATGCTGTTTATTACTCTGAAAGACTCTAGCTGGGTACCCTTGGGCAAGTCACTCCACCTCTCCATGGCTCTGTTTTCTTTCTCATAAAACAGATAAATGTGCTTGCTTGCTTCACAAGGGTGTTGAGAAGTTTAATTAATTAATAAGTTTCATAACTTCTTGTAGATCCTTGGGTACATCATTCTACAGAAGTGCTAAGTATTATTTCAACTAAGAGTTTCCTTACTGTGTCTCATCACTTATATGTGTTTTTTTAAGTGACCTGAATTATTAACGTTTTTAGGGGAAGTCATCAAAGTAGCAGTTTTGGATTGGGATTGTCTTGATGCTCTGTAAACTTCACTGAGATGTGAAACCAAAATATACTAACCACAGTATATTTTAAAGAGGCAGGCCTACTGGGCCTTTTAAAAAAAGAAATTTTCTTGTTATCTGAAGTAAGAATTTGCCTTTGTTGCTGTATTTGAAGTATTGTGAGTGATGTTTTGCATGATTTTGAATGATTTTGAATAGCATCTGAGTGATATTAAAAGAAAGATATGAGAATAGTTTTTAAACACATCTGCATTCTGTACTGTGAGCGCTGACCTCAGAAGACACTTGGTGCTGATTTTCCACTACACATTGATATACAGTCTCCTTTACAACTCATTCTTTGGTTATAGAGAATGTTGCAGGAAAGAAATGCATAAACTGAACCACTGACTGCCTGTGGTAAGAGTTGACAGATAGGCAAACACAGTTTTTATGGCAGAGTATATTAGTTATTGTAACTATGTATTGAGTAATCTGCACTACAATGGTGAGGAAAATGCAGTTTATTACCTGGCCAAATGTTAGATTAGATTTTTATAGGTTGCTTAAATTTATAAGTAAAAATGAGTAGCTGAAAGCAGGTTTTAGAGTTATATCTTGGGTTTGGTACTTTTTAAAGGCTCATGAGGTCTATGTGTACCATTTCTTTTCCTCAAGGACAATGACATTAAGTACGTAAGCTTTTTTAAAAACTGAATTCAAATAAAACCTAGATCAGAGGTAGTAAAAAGTGGTTCATATCACCAGGCAGCTGTTGGGTTGTGAGTGAACATAGGATGTTTATATCTTAGTAGAGAAATGATCACATCCATCCGTACCCAACAGTCTGAACAGTGAAAACTGGGGTTAAATGAGGAGGTAAATGTCCATAAAACTGAAGTGTCCCTTCTCTCAGAAGTGATTGCATTTAAGTAAAATTCAGTCACATTCTTAGTTTGTGTATGGAAGCTTACACATTTGGCACCCACAGCATACTTATAGCAATGCACAGAAATAAATCTAGTTACTAGTGCTATTGTTCCTGGATATTTTGCAAGAAATAAATCCCTTTGGGGAGGGGGGGTGTGCTGAAGGAATTTAAAAAAATTTTAAAAACAGCTTTCTGTAGCCATTGTTTTCTTGCTTAGACTTGGTAATCCAAATGTGTGGTGAGTGAAAGAGGTTATGACTTTTTCTTAGCAAATTGTGTTTAATTGGTAAATATGACATCTCAGCAGCAAGTTTGTCCTGGCTGTTCTCACCTTCTTTGCTATCTCCATTCAGCTGAGGTCAATCAAAGAGCTGAGTTACAGCACTGCATTCTCCTAAAGCTGTTAAACCATGGTGCCAGTTTGTGTTCAAGACTATAGCCACATACTTACTAAAAATAATTTAGTAATAAGTAGTTTAGTATAAATAATTCTGCGTTTGACTCCCTTTGCACAAGTGTTTTGTTTATATGGGTAAACTTTGTACTGATGTCTCTTAGCCCAGCTAAGCCCAACTGGGATAGGGTGAGGTGTGACAGTGCTGCATTAGTAAACCCCTCAAATCATTATGCACTGCACTTTGAGCAGATTCAGCTATGTGCTCCAGATGAGAACTGGGCAAAGAAGCCTGTAAGGAAAAAGGAAATTTAGCAAATGTCACCAGAGATCTCTCTCATGAATGCTTTGTCAGTAAAAGTTTAGCAGAAGTGAAGTGTTGGTAACAGAGAGCTGACCAAAGGGGTCTGGTCATTTTGGGCATCACACAAAGAACAGAGCACTGGAAATGTTTTCTCACATCAGGTGCTGGCATGACACTTTCATCCACTCTTGGGACATAGTCAGGTGTGGAAGCACAGGTAAATGTGACTATTATGTACACAGTCTGAAATTACCTTTGTTTAGTCTTTCTTTCTGTTTTCCCCTTGCTTAGACTCAGAGTATACAAGAGCAATCAGCAGTAGCATTATTTAGAGTGGCCAAAGGACTGTAGGTGATTTGACTTTGGTAGGTGTTGTATCTCGGTGCAAAAGAAATGTAATTTTAACATACAAGTCCTTTTACCATGGTTGGTCTGGTTTATGCCTTTATTTTATGGGGTTTTTTAATCAGAAATATTAAAAATGCTGAGCATTTTATATAAACCTGATATGCTTTCTTCATCCTTCTAATGAAGTGGCTGCTAAAGTTGCTAAAGAGTTTTGAAAACTTGTTCACAAGCATTTCTGTGTTCCTTTTAATCATATCCTTGCAGTCATGGTTCATCACACTTTTTACCAAAATAATCTGTCCAGTTTCAGTTCTGCTATGAGAGCCATGCCTGCACAACTTAAAGTCAGAAATGAGATCATAAGATTCTAAATTTCAAAACTAATCCATAATTTAATGGTTGTGTTGACACCTGCTCGCAGATTGCTCATGCACACTGTGAGTACCTACATGTAGCTGTTTAACTCCATCTGCAGTTGAGACTTCTGCCCTTGAAAATGTAGTGATCACTTTTTTCAAGGCTTTGTTAAGGGTATTCTGGGGAGCACTGAGGACAGTAATAGCCCTTAAGGAACTAGAGGACAATACATTTTATTGCCTGTCCTAGTTTGGACCCTGAAAAAAGCTGTTTCATCTGGGTGCATGTATATTACATATATGGAGAGAGAGAGAAGCTATATGCTTCTCTATCTCTGTGAGATAGATGATGAGTTAGCAGCAGAATTGTATCAATAATAATGAACAACATACTCATCTGTAGCAAGATGTGGCTAACAGGTAGGGTGGTACAGTTTAGGTCTACAACCACAGTGACATTTATCCTTGTGTTAGATCAAAGGACAGACACAAGTTTAAATGAACCTGTGGTTCTTCTGTGTGAGTACACATTTGGAGTCTGCATACTCACACTCTAAGGTTATCTGTAGATAATATAACAGCCAGTGTTGGTTCAAATTGCTTAGATTACAAACTCCTTAGGTTCAGAAATTGACTAGCATCAGCATCTTTGGACTTTGCTTGTGCTCCTGTATGCTGTCACAATAATTTAACATATATGTTTGGCATGGTTTTATCCCAGCTGTCAACTCAGCCCCACACAGCCACTTGTTCACCCCCTTCAGTGGGATGAGAAAGATAATTAAATTTTAATTTTAATTATTATTTTTAATTATTTTAGATAATAATGAGGAAAATAAATTAAATTTAAGGAATTAAAGTAAGAACATTTGTGGATTTAGATACAGTCAGTTTAATAGATAAAATCCACACAAAACAGAATTAATTCACCACTTCCCATGGGTTGGCAGGTGTTCAGACATCCCCAGGAAAGCACAGCTCCGTCACATGGAATGGTTTCTTGGGAAGACAAATGCCACAACTCTGAATGCGTCTCTCTTTCTTCTTCTTTCCCAATATTGTATGCTAAGCATGACTTCATATGTAATGGAATATCCCTGTGGTCAGTTGGGATCAGTTGTCTTGATTGTCCCCTCCCAGCTTCTTGTATGTGCTCAGCCCCCTTGCTGGTGGGGGGGGGGGCGGAGAGGCAGAAAAGTTCTTGGCTGTATAAATGTTGCTCAGCAGTAACTAAAACATCCCTAAATTATCAACATTGTTTCCAGCAAAAATCCAAAACATAGCTACTATGAAGAAAATTAACTCTACCCTAGCCAAAACCATCACAACGAATATAACAATAAAATATTAATATAGTTTTTTGTGCAACACTGAGTCATAAACAGGATATGGAAACATAATTAAAATGTGTTCAGATCCTGTAGCAAGGATATTATGCATTTTAGAATTCCTGTCTATTAATATGAAGTCCTGTGGAAATGCTTTACAAATAAAAGTATTTGCTATCTTCAGCTACTCTAGTTTGTAGATATAGATACAGAGAGTGAGAACTGGTTTTGTAAAACTCCAGCAGAATCACATCATTTGTTTGCAGCATCTTGAAGACCATTGAAGGACAATTAAACAAATAAGCAGGAAATATTAAAACTGTTAATTGTACATGGTCAAGAACAAAAAATGAGGGAACTTAAAACACAAGTATTTGGAAGAGTAAAGGTTAAGGCCAGCAAAATAGA